TGCAGCAGACTCACCGGCCCAGGGTGCAGGTCCCTGCACAGCCCCCGGAAATTGTCTCCGCCGAGCCCGTGCTGGTTCCACCGGTGGTCCACCGCCGCGATCTCGCCGGCGAACACTAGCAGGAACGGCGGCAGCGACCCCAGCTCGTAGATCCGCATCCGCTTCTGAACCTCCATCCACTCCTCGATCCGGCGCGTGTACCCACCCGCCCTCCACCCCGCCAGGTCCACCACCATCACCCCCGTGTTGAAGTAGCACGGCCGCCGTCCTGCGAACGCCGCCGACAGGGCGGGGCTGGACCAGAACGTCGGGGTGAAGTAGGCGGTGAAGTTGGCCTCGCAGTACTCCGGTGCGGCGAGGACGGCCCCTCCGGCGAGCGGCGTGGCGGCGAGGCGGGCGACGTCGTCGACTAGGACGAGATCGGAGTCGAGGTAGACGGCGCGGCGAACGCAGGCAGGGAGGAGGTCGGCGAGGTAGGTGCGTGCGTAGTTGAGGGGGCAGTCGAGGGCGGGGCGGATGGAGGTGGAGATGAGGCGGGACACGGCGGCGGACTGCCGGAAGGGGACGACGCGGAAGGGGAGGTAGGGGAACGCGGCGGAGACGGCGGAGGCGGCTCCGCCGCCCCCTGCAGAGGACGGAGGAGTGACGAAGTGGAAAAAGAGATTCTCCGGGCAGGCGGCGTGCTGGAGGGTGGAGAGGACGGCGGCCATGGAGCCACGGAGGTAGGCGGCGTCGAGGGTCATGGCCACGTGGACGGCGTCGGGGGAGCAAACGGCGTCGTTTGTGGGGATGGAAGGGCAGTTGGGGGCATTGTAGAATTTGGGGGCCTCTCGAAATTGTTGCTGTGGGCCGGCTTTTGAGTGGGAAATTAATAGAATTGTTGCGAGAGTACATAGAAAGGACAATTTTATGGGTCTCATTTTTTCTTTTAGAGTTTGTGTGTGTTTGTGTGTGTGTGTTGTATGAGTAGGAATTTTATGGGTTTATCAAGTTTGTTAGAGGACACGCTTTTGAAAAATTTATATATTGAAAAAAAACAAAAAGTGAGGGGTTAACATCTGACCAGCTGTAGGGGTGGGTATATAGTCAAAGAATTTCAAATGGGAAATCTGCAAGTTCTTTTTTTTTACACTTTTTTAATTATCATTGAGAAAAAAAAATAAAAAAAAATTGAGATGGGGCTATATTGTGTGATTTTATTCTATTTTGATTTCATTGAGTTACTAGTACAATACCCGTGTATTACACGGGTGCTTGTTAAAAAA